ATTTGCTTCACTTTGTGCGAAGAGTCTCGTGCCACGCGCAGATTTGACGTGTTGGGCTGTGTTCCTTCAAAACCAGCGTGTACTTGCAGAAACCAGTGTGTGAGTCTACTTTTTGCGGATGGGTCGACTTCGCGCGAATCTGGGCGTGAGCTTGGGGAAGGGCGACTTCACACAACCTGCGTTGACTTAACCCCAGCGCCTTGTAGGTGGTGCAAGATTTCCTCCATCCACAGTAAGTTCATTAGTTGGGAAGAGGATATAAGAGAGAGAGACGACGGTGAGAGGAAGGGGCGTTCATTGTGTTTGAGAGGAGAAGCCTCAGCCCCTGTTGAATTGAAAAAACGCTGCAGGGCACAGAATCTGGCGGTTCAGGGATCACGACTGACTCACGGTTTCTGCTGCAAACACGGCTTGATTCCTCTTCCTGCCGCAAGAGAGAGACGTAGACTTCACACCTGCGGAGAGAGGAGATGTGAGATGCAATGTGATATTTAGATTCGGTGCTATCATCGAGCGTGGGATAAGGGTGAGCCAGCGTTTGCCTTCAACTGCCTTCAGCAGAGCAAAGCCAAATATGAGAGTAGCTGCCAAAGCCGTAGCAGTGCGGGGACCACAACTGTGCTTGGAACATGAGAGGCCTGGACCTTCGCGCCAAACTTTTAAGCGGCCAGCAGCGCGCAAGTGACGCAATGTTTGGGGTAGTCTGAGGCCATCTGCTTGCGGAGCTTGCGCGGCATTTAGATCAATCCTGCGCTCTAAGGGCGTACGGCAAGGCAGTGAGCTGGCTACCAAAAAACCGAGAGGTTCTGGCAAGCCCACATGCTGGTGCACTTTCAGCTTGCCGATGTTACCCGCGCCACGCTATACACGTCGGGCTTGCAGCTTCATCTCAACTGTGCCAGAGCAGTCATCAGCCACACCAACATGGAAGCCGTAAAAAACCAAGACACGAAATGATTTCTGATTCTAGGTCCTTTCAGCCAAGTGAAGCAATGCTGGGCCTGGACGACTCCGAGGAGCCTCCGCAAGAGGAAGCCTACTTGGAGATTTCTGCCTTTCCAAGCTTCACAGAGAAGCTTGGCATGAAGATGAATGAAGGGTCTGACGGACGCATGGCTTCGTTTGTCTTACTTGATCTGATGGTGAGGCTCCTTGCAGCCTCTGAGCAGTATGCACGTCACAGCGGCTGCCGCTTCCGACGGGCCGCATTCGAGGATTTGGAGGAAGGCCATGCAGAGTCCAGCGTGAACTTCACAAAGCAGCTTCTTAGAGCAGCCCTGGACAGCCAAGTTAGCAGCCTTGAGATTATTTTAGAGGCATGTATGCGCCGGTCTTTGAAGAGACAAAACAGAGAAGAGTCATATATGCAGATTGTCCAGCTTCAGCGGTGATGGTGTGCCAGGTTCTGATCCGGACCTTCGGGCTTCTAAAGTTCAAGCCGCCCCAGTTGTGAAGGACTGGTCGTGAGAGTGATTCCTGACCCAGTAAATGGTTTGAGGATGCAGGAGGCATCTAGACCCGCAGATGTCTGCAACCACGACACAGCGTGGAGGAGTTTCTGGCGAGACTGGAAGGGTCTCCAGACCAGGCAGGGCTTTCATGTCCAGAAGCGTCACAGTTTCTTGCATCGAATTGAGTTCTGCATCCTCAACGCTTCAGCATGGTAGTCAGGCCCTTGAGGTCTGCTTGGTAAGCATCTCGCCATAAGAGGCGCTGCTGAAGGACTTTAACGAAGCGTTTCACATCCTGTGGAGGGAGAGTATGCGCAGCTCCATGGTGGCAAGGCCTGGCCCCATAGCCCACCCGGCTGAAGGAACGGAAGCCAAGAGGCTATGCATGATTATTACATACCGCTAACTAACTGAGATTTTGAATTTGTGAACTGTTTGAGATCTTTCTACACTTTTGCCCTCCAGGTGCCACCAGTTGGATCTATGGCCGCCAAGCCCTGCGCCTATTGGCATTGCGGAGGACGACGTTGACTACGAGGCAGACGCTACGCCCGAGACCTAGTTTGGACATCCCTCGCTGCCAGGTAGAAAAACCTGAAACGGAGTAAATTCTAAAGGGTTCTCAAGTGAGTTGTTTTCACTTAGGTCTCTGTTTGTCATTGCCCAGCGCTTGTACAACGAAGACCGTCAACGTGACGCATCAACTGTCAGGCTGGTGGTGGCATTCTCTCATCGCAGCAGAAGTGCAATCTTCATGTTTCATGGCCGCATATCTCATCCTTGCGTTGTACGAGGCGTTTGTCTACGGCATCCTTCCTTGCCGACTTCGCATATGAAGCGGGCATTCCGACTCCGGAGTTCTTCCGAAGCAGGAATCCGGTCGTTGACAAGCTCCCTGCCCATGAGCTGCCAGATCATAGCAGAGAGGTCAAAGCGCTTCAGATGCCAAGCCAAGGTTTGAGAAGATGGCAGATGAATATGAGGAGAAGATGTTCTCATCGGCACCACGTCGCCCTCACAAATGGTGGCTGCCATGGAACATGAAGCTTGGCGAAGACTTTGTAGGCAGTAGTTGCTGGAAATTCACCAGGCAAAGACACAGCATTTGTTTGCAACTGCGTCGGTTGGTTTTTAGCACGCAGAGCTGCACCCAAGGATTTGGGATGCGGGTTCTTGGCTCTACAGCGTCTTCTCACGAGCGTTTCGACCCATTATGGATGCCGCCTGCACGTCGCGCCAGAAGAAGCTCGAATGAGAGTGGGAAGAGCACCGCCAAAACGCACAATTCCAGCCGGGGGAGCATGGGCTCCGCAATCGTGCAATGTTAGACCAAACTTTTCTTGGTACATTGACACACTTCACCAGTGTAGTGGGGAGACTCCCTGTGTAGACTACGAAATCTGCCGCAGCAAAATGAAGAACATGTTTGCGGAATTTTGCGGAGCTCTGCCGCGTCAGAAGCATCATTTTCCAATTTGCGGGATCTTCCTGGGCTTCAGTGCAGGAAACCGGGTTCATCCGATCAGGATGCAGGGACGAAGCATAGATGTAGTCCGCCTATGGATCTAGTAATTACTCGCGACTCAACCGACCTGCAGCTGCAGCAAGTGACGCAGATACATGACCTGTAAACCCTAAATTGTAGTTTCCAATTCTTTCCCACTTGCTTCCCCATTATACAGTACTATCTCTAGTATCCCCAAATAGGGTTTAGGGGTATTGTGTGAAGTGCCAGTTTTCTCTGGCCTGGACATGAAGAAGCTCTATGAAGCTTCAGATGCCGTGGCAGCTTCAACTTCTCGAATTCGGATCGTTTCGATAACCAGCCCCGTTGCCATTTGACTGCGTATAAGGCGCTGTAATTTGCGGCTGGGAGGGGCATGGGGCCCCTTTTTAAATTTCAGGACTGATGTTTGCGCGGCATTCCCGGTGAAGACAGTTGAAAGAATCTGCGAAAAAAATCAGGCAAGCAGCCTTAGCAAAGACGTGCAGACACACAGAAGTACAATCGGCAGGTGAGCTATTCGAGAGCTCACGCTTCCAGCATCTTTCACCATGCATGTACTGTACCTTCACTGTATAAACGGAGAGATGAGGTGTCACACATCATGAAGTTTCGTCTATGGCTTGTGTATTTTCAACTCAAGCGGACTGTTTTGCCATGTTGGCTCAAGAATGAGAAAGGGATAACGATGCAAAGTGCATTGGAGGGGGAACTCGCCAGCGTGGCGAGTGGTCTCTGCCTCAGCTTCTGCAAGCCTCCGTTCAAGGGTCCTTTTCTGATGGTGCTCGGCTCCCTCCTCTCTTTTCTTCGCTCCTCCAAGCTTGCAGTCCTAAGCAGAACCACAGTTCCACTATCTTAGCCTGCTGGGCATGTCTGTGTCTCATCCAGGAGCTCGGTGTTGAGCAGCCCTGCCGTCATGCCGGTGGATATTCTAACCTCCGATCAGGCCAGAGCCTTTGAAAGGTGTGGGTGTCAACTTGCCAGGAGTTGCTTTAGCTTTAGACTCGGGCGGGCTTGTCATGTCAACAATTTACTGTTTACTGTTGCCGGCTGTCACTTGCTATGGAAGCTCAGAGGCCAGATATGTGCCAATGCTTCATGTTTCAGGAGCGGCGAGCTTTGATTGCCACACCGGCAGATACGTCGGTGGGGTCCTTGGATTCCGTGTGAACAGCTGATTTGCACAGCTCATCCAACCATGCAGCAGGTGTTATCAGATGCTGGGGCCTAAGAGTCTCTTCATGGTCAGAGAAGCTGGATTTCTGTCCACATCTTAGCTTGATGCACGCACCTAAGGACACAAACGCCTCTAAAGGCCTCGTGGCGCAGAGTTGGGCAGGGTTTCCATTGCACTCCTTAACGGACCGCCATGAACTGTTTCAGGGCAATGCGGTGAAGCGTATCCGTGCAGTGTGGCGCTGAGCTACGTTATTGGCTGCGAAAGCTGGTAAAGCTAGGCAGAACAAAGCCCTTCAGACTTGCAGCAGGGCGGCTGAGCTGACAGGTCGGTCTGCATGGCTGGTGACTGTTGCCGTGCTTTCAGCCTGGCGCTTAGGCTTAGTCGCTAAAATGTTTTTCTTGGAGCCTTTTCCTGAGTCTTGGTTGTGACCTCGTGTAGCCTGTTCACTTTACGTGGCACAACAAGTGCTGGTAACACTTCATGCAGCAGAGACATTTGCATTACAAGACCTAGGCGGGCTTTGCAATGTTAACCTGGCCTCGAAACACCCAAGCATGAAGATAGGCATCAACATCGCAACCCTGCGAGGGGTGGATTTCCTGTGCTCACTTGCCTCAGTTTGCTAGCGACTGCAGCTTGCCTTGCAAGCACAAGGTAGTGTCTCAATCGATCGATAGGTCAATGAACAGAAAAAGATTGAAAGAGGGGATGTTGATTGGTTCGGTATTGTCCTCGCAGCTTGGAGGTATCGCTGCTGCTGGCATTGGTGGCTGTGACGTTTTCAGGGAACATCGCCGCGAAGGCACACTCTGCACTCGGTATTCCCATGCGCCTATGGTGGCTGTATAGGAGGAAAAGAGATGGGGATCATGTAGTGTTTGGGAAGAATTTCCGATGAGAGTCCCTGCCCATCCCTGCCCCATAGTGACGCCTAATTATCCCGCTTCATATAACCTTGACTTGTGGCCCTGATCCTTTGTCAGTTGAAATATGTTGAGCTAATTATGCCCGGCCATACCAAGAACAAGCATTAACAACAATCGGATACTACTTGGATGAATCTGCTCTGGAGCGTGGAGGCAGGAGTTTCGAACCATGGTTGATGTTCATTTAAGGCCTAGTTGTGATGTGCTGGCTGCAATACAGGTGCATGAGTTAGCTGCTCAGAGACGGCCATGGCCTCAGAACCAAGTTTGGGGCTGTTGCATTCGATGCGAGGAACCCCTCCTTTACAAACGAGTTGAGGGTCGTGCACATGGCACCCCTTAGGATAGAGGACTACGATGCGGCCATGGGCGACTGCATGCCGATGTGTCCACGACGACTTTCGGAGGACCTGGGGACATGCTGCCATAGGGCAACCCCATTCGTTTGCGTGTCAGGTCGCTTGCAATTGACGGTAGGTCCCGGGACCCGCAAGGGCATTCCATCCTGAAGCTTGCGTAGCCTGGATGTCTTGAAAGCAGTAAAGTGGCATCTTAGTTAGTGGTTGTCACGTTGCGAAATCGAGTGCTTTGCCTCCAAAGGAGGAAGAGGACGGCCTCTCAAGCCTCGAGTTGCTCGGACAAGGGTTCATGAATCGACCTGCAGTAGCGAGGCATTCCTTCTTCAATCTTCTTGCTGTTGATCTTGTATTGTCCATGATGATTGATGGCTTTGTTTGTGTGTTTGTCATCTCTTGTTGAGGTTGTTAGCTAGTGCGAGGAGTTTCGTGCTGACATCAGCAGGCGTCGTTTTTCTCTCGGCCTGCCGAGGAAGTGCTTGGAGAGCTGCCCCTCAAATGGATTCATGGCTGCCATGCAATATGGCGAGTGCAAAGCCAAATGTGAGCGATGCTCTGCTGCAACAGACGTAGACTGTCCTTTTCTCTCTTGACTTTTGGTCATATTTCCGGGTCCACCCGAGGAAAGCATCCTTCAGCAGGCGGGGCCACACAGGCTACAGGCCTTGGCTCTGGGGAGTTGATGAAGTTTGCTTGTTGCAGGAAAGCAGGAGCTCCCCGCCGCCGATCCTCCTCTGGAAGGCAGACGCCCCATGGATTTTTGCAGATTGAGGACTGGCGGAAGCTCGCCCATTGCAGGCTGCCAGCGTCAGTGCCGCCAGCACAAGGGCAACTTTTGGCACTTAGTGTGCCCTAGCCTGAACTTCACAGTGACCATCAGCGCGTCAACCCTGGACATGTAGAGGTACTCTGACTGTGCCAAGACATGCGCTGCAAAGACAGCGGTGGCGCAGGCATGCAGTTGCATCTGGATGTGCGTCCCTGCGCATCTGCGGCAATGTGTGCCTGCCGACAAGGTTCAGTACATGCAAAAGTACAACATCTCCTCGCAGTACAATTCTGATCTTCAAGCAGAGGCTAGAAACTCAATTCAAGCCTTGTCATTTCCAGGCCAGCTGCGACAAGTGCGCATGGAGCAGCAAATTGCATGCAGTCGGCACGCGTTCAGCAAGAAAGGTCACAGCGCTGCTGAGGACGAGGACATGCGTATACTGAGTCCAGAAGGCGCTGTAATTACTCATAATCGAAACGCAATGTGCCTCAGAACTAGGCTGCAAGAGCACAGCAGCAACCGTGAAACAGGGGAAATCTCGAATATTGCTTGACGTACGAGAAACGTATATCATCTGCGTCGAAGCGGCAACCGCGCAAGTAGTAGCAGGACGACAAACAGGAAGGCTTGCTAATAGCAACTTTAAGCCATTAGCACCACCTGATTGCTAATCCTCATTGGTGGGACCTAGCTTTGGCTCTCTCAGGATCCAATTCAAGAAGCGTTCTGGCGATCGTCCCTTCAGCTTCACGCTAATGAAGTGCCCAGCCATGTTTATTTCAAACTTCTCTGTGACATCAAGAAAGGCCCCTTCATTCATCAAGCCTGGTGTGTGCGTAGTAGCACCTAGGATTGCGTGCATGAAAGGCCAAAGGTGCCAGACCTATCACCGCCCTGTCAAGCTGGCTTCATGAGTCGGAGTTACTGGCAGGTACCAAGCGAAAGTGGAGGACGCCTTGGCCAAGGTGTTAGAGATCCCCGACAAAGTGCCAAAGCCAACAGTGATCATCAGGCTAGCGCATGCCATGTCATGTGCCCACATCTGCACCCGCTGTTCCCGCAACGCCAGTAGACTATTTGAACATGACTGGTCCACCAACTGCTTGGAGAGAGAGAAGTTGAGAACCTACCCAATCAGTCCCCATCAGTCTTCATCATAGGGGTTACAAGAATTGAAAAGCAAAGCTACTGCAACTTCGATTCCGGGAGCTCATTGGAGACATTGGAAACCGACAATGCGATATGTTCTTAGCAGGCCATACCAAGCTGGAATTCAGCACGTGGTTCCCAGAGCCTCCTGCCAGCAACGTAGCGTAGGTTTCCATGTAGTTTCCCGAAGGCGTTTCCATATGTGTTCTTAGCAACATTAGTGAAACCGGCAACTGTATCGAGTTGTGCACATAGGTGGGCACTTGCATGTTGCTGCCTTGCAGAGGAATCATGCCAAGATTCGCCAAGGCATTGAATGTAGACCCGGGCAACGACATAGAAGCTGTGGTGGACATGAAGGTGCCAGCATGACGCCATGGGCCCTGGGCTTCTGTCCTGGAATGCGCAGAGACCCGCTTGTTGGAATACGCCAAACTAAGATCAAGCAAGATTTTGGAACCCTGGTTATGACAAATGTCCCGAGAGACACTGCAAGGCCTCTGTAGACATCAGCCAGGTCATGCCCATCTCCAAAGTCAAAAAGCTGGCGAAGAAATCTGCACTGGAACAGTTCGATCAGGACAGGGGCCAAGGTTGGGAGTTTGATGGAGGAGCCTCTTAGTCAGGCGTTTTACCCAAGGGGTAAACAACCCTGCATCATGGCAGCAGCCAGTCGGCGCAGTAACTTGTGTGAGCCTGCCTGCGCTGGATTTCGGAACCTCATCCGGCCAGAAACCGATTCAAGTCTGCTTTGTTACCGTTGCCTCGTGCTGGAAAGCCTCAGAAATCCTCAGAAGCACTGGCTTGAACAACGTGCTGGCAGGAGCTGAAGCAATCGCTCTTCAGAGATCCAGAAACCGTTGGCCTTGCAAATGTGTCCCCCACAGACAGCCTGGCAGCAAATGAGTGCTTCTATTGCGTCTGGTGCTGCGAGGGTTGTTGGCTCATGTAATGGTGATGCCAGAGCTGCAAGGAAGCCTTGGAGAGCACATCCTCCTCTGTGGAGGGAGACTACATCTCCTTGGGCTTCTTGTCGTGATATTGGGTTCAGTGCCAATGCCGAAGGAGGCTATGGACGCTTCTCGCTGCCTTAACATGTCGTATCCCGACCCCAGGCTGGCACACGGTCTGCCGAATGAACCAGGCGCAAGCGTGCTGCAAATAGTGGCAAATAACAAGGTCCATGGAGTTGACATGCTTCGTGGGACGGAGCTCGCCCACATCCATGCGCAATCCATGTACAGTGTGAGCGGAGCGGAACGAGTTTCACGAGATGGTGTTGACATGGCGCAGCTTGCCTGCCTGTTCAGGATGACGCAACCATCGATGCCCAAGGGAAGGCGCTTCTAGGCTTGCAGCTCGCAAGTTGTGGCTAGAGTTTTGTTGAGAAGTTGAGCACGTGATTATCGTTTTAATAGCACATGGAGGTCGCAAGGCAACTTTGCTAATTGAACTCTTTTACTAAACCTAGCCACAGCCAGCTAAGGAGAGTCATCCATGGCCAGTCACTCCGGCAGTGCTCCATGCCCCCACCTCAGACTCAAGCTGGCAGCTTCCAAACCACTTGTCTGTCCCGCACACAAGCCTCACTCTGTCATGCTCATGCTTTGAAACCCTGAGCATTGATGCCACCGTTGCATTTGGGCTTCTCAGCAGGGCCATCTTGCTGAAGGAATCCCATTTCAGCAAGACTTGGCACGGGACATGTCTGGAAGCAGAACCTTCTCCTCAAGATGAGACACCTGAAAGGGGCATTGCTGTTAGTTTGGCTGTGTGCGACTGAGTTGGTCAACCATCTCCATCATGCCAGCGTGAGCAAGCGCCGTCCATGCCTTCGGTTCCAGTTGTTCATGCTGAGCCTGCAGGTGCCTGGCCTCCGAGGAAAACAGAGGATGCGGAGACCGCGGCCAAGGCCTTGAAGGTGAGGAGGAGCGCTAGCCCAAGATTTCAAGAACTCGCCTGCTTGCCGCTTTCAGCAAGTTTGCCTGTTCGTGTGTCTAAGGTCGGAGGCTGAGTCAATGCGGGTGCAGCTTCTGCAGCACCGCGACGTGCGTCTGCAGCGCACTCCTACCCTTGCAGAGGCTGTGACATCTGTGACCTTGTGACTAATTAGAACGGCATTTCGAACGATCTCCCTCCTGCAGGTGCCAGCAAAGCAGCAGTTCAGCATACCAGTGGCAAAGGCGTTCGCCAGCGTAAGCCAAGCGGCTTTTTGCCACTTGTCTGATAGAGCACACTGATCATGTTGCAGCTTGAAGGCAGTGCAGTCGCAGCTAGAAACGACAAACTGCGTACCAGAATGTTTGGTCATGACCCAGGCGGAGCGGATGAACAGCTGCGGAACTGGACTTGCGAGGCCCAAAGTTGCACTCAACTTGTTGAGAGCTGAGCCTGAACCGACCCACCTGCATAAGCATGGACCTCGCAGGCCTGCCATGATGTCGGCTTTACTTTGACGCCCGGCACGCGGCGCCTTGTGCGGCAGGCCATGACCCGAAGACCGCATATTACTTATCAAGACAGATCGCGACGGCCAGCATCTACATGTACCGTCTATATAGATATACACATGTATTGACAACAACAACAACAACAACATATCTACATCATAGGTGTGTCTTATAGTAAAGATGACGTATCATATCGTACATGGATATGCCTGTATATCCATGCGAGAGCTTGTCAGGCTGAGTTGGGCGAGGCGGACTCCACCTTCATCTTCGTGTCGCGCGCAGAATATCTGACCGAGCAGCCAGAAGACTGGCTGTGGCCGGCCGCGAGGGCCAAGGAGACCCTGAAAAATGCCAACAAGGACCGCCTTAAAATGTTTATAGAATGTAGTTGCTTCTATGTTGCTCTCCATTTCACTCTCCACTCTTCCTGTCCCTAAGAAGAAAACCCCATATCATATGCCCATATCATATGTGACCCGTGTAGGACCCCTAAATAATTAAGCAAAGGACTGTTACACTCACTGCGGTCAGCTGGGCGGCTTCTGCGCGTGGTGTGGCGTTGGGAATGCATGCTGCAAGAAAAATGAGGTGGGGAAGCTCAGTAGCACTCCAGAACCGATCCAGCAGTGATTGCTCGGTGAGGCTGGGGACCCTGCGGAGTGCTTCAATGCCACAGGATTCATTGGGTCTGAGTACCATGACCTTGGCTGGACAATAACATCAGTTTTCAGATTTTGGATGAAGGCAGCTGTGCCAGTCGTTCAGGGCAAAAAGGGGAGGCATCCTAAAAGATGCTTAGGGTTTCTGATGTTTGTTGAGCTCCAAAAGCAGGCAGCAAAGGCACTTAATTCACAACTCTTGCAGAGGCCAGGGACGAAGGCTCCAGAGTGCTCCAGACTCTACGCTTTTCCAAGGAATGCGTGACAGTGCAACATCCAGCCTCTTGAGCCTCACTGATGATGCAGTGGATGTCAACAATGATCTGTAAATTGTGTGCTTAAGGGGTTCTGGGCGAGCGGGTATCATGACCTCATGCTAAGGTCCCTCACTCGCCAGTGCTTCACAGTGGTGAGGATTGCTGGTTGTATTGTGGGAAGGCACGTGCAGCCTGCAACTTTGGTCCTTCCAATCGCTTGTAGAAGAGGCTGGAGGCTTCTGCGACTGGTGCGGTGCTGGCAATGCCTGCTGCAGGCAGCTTGCAAGCATGTCACCTGCAGCTAAAATTTCAGACCTGAACCGGCATTCTTAGGAACGGTTATGAAAACGACCCGCTTGAATGCCATGGCGCGTTGGCCCGGGGCTCAGCTCAACGAAATTATCATCAGTTGTCTACACAGAGCTGGCTGTTATCGCATCCCGCTGGTCAGGCCAACTCGTCACATCATGTTTGCACAGCGGCTATGTCGAACGTGCCGAAGCCGGTGTCAAAGCGTGATTTTGGCTGCATCCTATCGATCCGAGGCGTGGCCTGTCCTGCTGCATCCTGCTGCAGTCATGTGTCCAATGCGTGAGCTATCAACAAAGCAAAGCCTTGCATGCCAGGGTTGCCAGGTTGTTGTGGATTTCACGTGTGCTAGCAAGAAACATGCCATCCGCACGAGGATTTGTGGGAGGTGTATAAGGCTGTTAGTGCACCATCCGCACCAGGCTCGCGGACGTTCACGAACGCCTTGCACGATGCCTTCTTTTGGAGCGACGAGCTCCCCGTGCAGGAGCAAAGCCATAATCTGGCAGAGGATATCGTTTGCACGAACCAGCAGCCTCGCGATCTGGCAGGAATGTGAAGGTTGCCAAGTTTTCGATGGCTTCTGGCGGGTGTGGTCCGGTGTTGAGGCAAAGCTTGGGCATCCTGATTGCACAGGGAATTGTGGATGGAGCTTCCAATCACCTCTCGGTCCACACCAGTGCAAAGCGGCACCCGCTGCTGCTCAGAGCTGAGGCGAGTCTTGATTGACAATGGCTGCATTCCAGGCTTCCGCGCGCATCGAAAGAGCTGCTTTTGTAGAACCGCACACGATCTATTAGAGGCCTTCTTTGCTTGGCCCGCGCAGCCCCTGCAGGCACTGACCACGGTACCGTCCTGCTGACTGGCCATTCGCTGGGGGCAGCAGTGGCAACGATTGCTATGTACATGCTGACTCTCGGCTGTTCGGTTTAGGGCTGACCCAGATGTTTACCCTGAACTCCGATTGTGCACCGGGCATGCAGCCTCATAGATGCTACTTGCACTGGAGGCAGCTTCGAGGCTACACTGTGGGTCTCTCGTACAACTTCGAATCGCCACGCGTGGGGAATGAAGCATTTCACCAGTCTTTCGCCTCGGCCTTATCATTTGCCAACCTGTTGCAAGCTGCCCTCGCGATTGCATCTTCACTGCGGCATTGCGGCAAGACTTTCCAGACCAGGCTGGAATGTTCGGGCGAGTAGTGAACCTCTGGCGGATCACGCGATCGCGGGACCCAGTCCCGCACGTCCCACCGCTTCCGATTTACCACCACGTGGGATCGGAAGCCTACTTTCCGCAAGATGGTGGGTCACTCGGCAGACAGAATTGAGCTTCCTGCTGCATTGGAGAAGCCTAAGTGGGCGGGACGGCCCAAAGTTCTGAACCCAAGCAGCATGGCTGACAAGAGTATGGACCTTGTGGATTTTTGGGTGCGCTCATTTATGGCATTTTATGGCTAGAACAGAACTGGCTAGCTTAGGGAGCACGTGCTGTGCCTGGATGCCGAAGACCCGAAATGTGCCCTGGCAAAGCCGGTTGCGCAGGCAATTTCCTGTGCATCACATCATGCCGAGGTGCCGACAGGTATTCTTTGCTGGACACACTGATTTTTGGTCGCCCTCTCAGCTGAAGCAAGTGCGGGCAAGGCAAAGCCATTGCAGGCAAAGCGAGGCTTGTCCTTCCAAGGCTGGGACCACTGCAAATCTGAGCTTGCGGGACCTGGCCGTGGCTACGGTGAGGGCATCTGTCAATGTGCAGCCTAGCAACTTTGCACCTAGCAGGAGGGCGACCACCTCATGGCTTCAAGGAAAAGAATGAAAAGGATGTCAAGCATGCGCTTTCAAAATCATGAGCGCCCTTTTCCTTGTCCTTAAATGGTATGGGCAAGGTTGTGCAACGACTGGAACCTCTTCTGCTACGGCTTTGAGTTTGCAAGCCACACCGGTCGCTGCGAAGCTTGCTTGACTCCTCGTGCACTGCATGTCATGTTCAGAGTTTGGGTTGCTTGACTGCCTCTTTCGTAAGGAGATCTGGACGACGCCGATTTGTGCTCACAGCCAGGCCTGCTTGAAACAGTGGTGAAAGGCAATAGACATCATGTTCACTACAGATCAGCTGCTGCACCGCTCAGACAGGTTTTGCTTGATTGCGGGTTGCATTGCGTAGCTTAGGGTCCAGTAGGCAGGTAGGCAGTCCGATTTCCAATCCTAGATCTCGAAGGCCAACGTTCCTGGATCCAGCTTTGTGGACTTCCGATGCTTCCAGCGCTGCCGTTCTGGTGGGGAACCATGTCTCCATGCAGCTGCACTCATGGCACTGCTCAATGTCTTAGACGCTTCAGCCCACGAGCCATTAGCCGAAGTGTCGCAAACTGTGAGGTGACTGACGCACGTCAGCATGGTCTGCTTTCGCCCTAGCTGGCTGACCCTTGCGTAGCGATAGACTTCTGGTTCATCTGCTGAAGGCTGACGGAAGCCAAGTCTCAAGGGCTGCTGTTTCTTTCAGCGGGAGTGTGCAAGTGAAAATGAGGGGCGAGTGCACATTCTACATTCCTTTGTGGTATCTGCTAGTTGAGGCAAATTTGGCAAAAGCATACTCCCGTGACCTTGCCGTGCCGGGACACCCCGAGCGGTTTGCTGCCAGCCTCCGGGGCTAAGCCCCTGAACTTCCGGACCCCCCCGGCTCCTTTCAAGTGCGACTCACCGGGCCAAATTTCTATCACTACCTAAGCCTTACCAAAGCTTTCGCGTGAGACGCATTGTCATGTTCACTCTTCACGTCACAGACCAGCGGTGCTGTCGAAATTGTTTGACATGGGCACAGCCGTTGCGATGCGGCCCTCACCAACATCAGGTTCGTGAAGAGTCCACTGGCGCCTGTGGGCCTTTCTGCCTAGGCCAAGTTGCATAACCGCGCGGAATGGCCAATTGGGCTAGTCTTGGCAGCCACGGCGCATGTGGGCCAAGGATCTTAATTCAATGCTGTGCATTCGGTGCCGTCTCCTGCAGGCTGAGAACATCTCAGGCTGCCGAACTCCGGCCTAAGGGCAAGGTTCGAGTGCAGTGGTTGACTGACTCACTGTCAACTCCATATGCGCGAGGACAAAAGATGCGTTCATGAGGCTTGCAACCTGAGTGCAACCTGACCTAGTGGACAAAAACCGACCATTATGTAACGGAAGACAGCTAGCTTCAGTGATCACCTTTGCAACTCCAACTTGTTATGCCCTGGCCGATTCTTTGGCAACCCCTTGCCGCAGTGACCAACGACTCGGCTCAAAGGCAACGCCCTGCACATTGCTCGAAGGCAGGGCACGGAATGACCATGAGCGGGTTGCGACTGCAAAGAATTGCAAGAACGGCAAGAACTTTGCTTCTTCAGATTCATGTTTGGCAGGCGACCATGACCAAGATGCACCGATCGCCGTTGGCGGTGCTGCTGCTGGCAGCGGCGTGCTACATCCTGAGCCTCGTGCCGGGCTTCGTTGCCCCGGCCGAGGTGGTGCGGGCCAGCGCCGAAGCTGTCACAGGGGCTGCAGCCGCAAGTGTGGCCCCACTCAATGAGGCCAGCTCTGTGCTTACAGCAGACCTGTCACCGCTGGAGAACCCAAACATCACCTTCGTGGTGCTGCTGTCCATGTTCTCCATGTCGATCGCCCTGGTGGTGTGGGGACGCAACGGCTTCTGAGCCCGGCCGCCATTTTCTCCTCCAGCTTAGGAAATCAAGCGAAAGCACGGCTAGCAGCTGAAAAGGTTTGCAGAATACTGCATGTTTGGCGATCTTTCCCAGCGAACAAGTGTCTTGCCCCACAAAACATGTTCTGCCAACATGAACGCCATTGAAAGAGTCAAGGCTGTCTTGTAAGCTGGTTGCGATCTCTGCGACCACAATGTTTTTTTTGGTAAAAATGTGACTGCCATCGAATCCTGCAAAAGGGAATGTGACAAACCCTGACAATTCCGTTCAAATCCTCATCTAACAATGGGTCTCGGAGGGCCCTCTATTTTCAGAACTCTTCTTGAGCATGCATGCTCGACAAGAAGGATTAATTGCCAATGATTATGGTTCCTGACATCAAGCGAAGTCAAGCCTTCAGGTCTGCGCTCCAGATCACGCTCTTAATTCAGCCTCCCCTCTTGACTTCAGTAAGCCGCTCTCTGTCTTAGAATAAAGTCCGTGAAGGCAGTGTGCAGATCGCCAGAGATCTCATGAGGCTTCTTGGCATGCTTGCTTTCCAATGCTCAACACCCTCAGGTGGTATAACGATGCTCTGAATTACTGCGGCTCAAGACAGGAAGGGCCAGAGCGATACATTTGCCTGAGTTGGAGGCAGGCACGCTGGTGGAGCTGCAGCTTTTTTGTACCAGGCTACCAGGCTTGCTGCTTGGTGTAAGACTGTGAGCTGCAGGCGTGACCATGACCAAGATGCACCGATCGCCGTTGGCGGTGCTGCTGCTGGCAGCGGCGTGCTACATCCTGAGCCTCGTGCCGGGCTTCGTTGCCCCGGCCGAGGTGGTGCGGGCCAGCGCCGAAGCTGTCACAGGGGCTGCAGCCGCAAGTGTGGCCCCACTCAATGAGGCCAGCTCTGTGCTTACAGCAGACCTGTCACCGCTGGAGAACCCAAACATCACCTTCGTGGTGCTGCTGTCCATGTTCTCCATGTCGATCGCCCTGGTGGTGTGGGGACGCAACGGCTTCTGAGTCCCGAAGGCTAAATTTTTCTGGTGGGACAAGCAAGGGAGGCGAAAACAAGTTGAAGCTTTCAGAGATGCCTTTTGCAAAGCAAACGCAGATGTCTTAAATTTGCTTGGATGAAGCATGCGCAGCCTTCAGGCTTACAGGATGTGCGCCCAAAAGACATGCAGGGTGGACCAGCAGCAATTTCTTAGAGCCATTTAGAGCCTTAGCATAGAGACCCAAAGCGTAGTGTACTCAGCTGTCAGATGCTAGCCAAGTATGTCACTTCCGCAGTCTACGAGCCCTCAAACACCTGAAATCAGGTCGTAAAAGGTTAGGCTGCAGCAAAGCACCAGCCTCTTGCATGGGCCTGCTATGGCCTCACAGCTACTTGGGCTGCAAGATGACTGTGTCTACAGTTGCAGTAGCTCAAGTCTGACACTTGAGTCGCTGCCTTGAGAAGCTAGATATACGAGCAGCTGCAAAACCAGTTCGAGATTGTGGCAGACATTGGTCGGAAGGCTACTTCTACGGTGCGATAGAGGGCATCCGGTCAAAAAGCTCAAGGACCATGTGTAATTTCACAACTCCATGTGGGGTAGTCGGAGAGTCTCAATTTGGACTTTCGGGTCCCGAAGTCAACATCAGACAAACGCAGGAGGGCGAAAAGCGATGGAACCCTTTCCTTCACACAGCAACTCGGTTCTCAATCCAGTCCTCGTATTTGTTTACGTTCCATTTCGGAGATCCTGAACATGCATGACTTGCCAGGTATGCTCCTCCTGCAAAAAGCCCATTGCCCCACGTCTGATCGAGCTTGGAAGGGCAGAGGGAGCGGTGCCAACTGCCAACTGTTGACGAGCTCCATGTGCTCCCAGGGGATTCTAAAGCGATTTGAGAAACGCAGCGGACAGCTGAGGCAAGCCAGATGGCCCGATGGTCCTGCGAGCATCACTGCAACTTCACGGTTTGCGATGCCTGCGTCGCTTGAGATGAAGATTCCGAGAGACTACCCTATTGCTGAATCTTCGCACTCCACACAGGTCGCACTGATTTTGCATAGATAAGGTGACGCATCATTTCCAGATGCTTTCTGTGGAGCTGCAGCATCGGAGCTCTTGCGGCTTGACCAACTCATGACAAAGCTTTTCAGGAGGTTTTTGCTCGTAGGTGTTCTCAGGCTGCAAGAGGCTCTTGGGTTGCTCATTAGGGGCCACTCAGGCAGTGCGTTTGTTGAAAAGCATGACCAGTGTTCCTTCGACCCATGCTCAAACCATCGGATCTCAAACCCTCGACATGTAACCAGCCGGAGCTCATCGTTTTCGGAGCCAGTCCATGCTGAAGGCTCTTCGAAGGTCTTCAGCGAGGTCGCGGAAGTGCCGTGGGAGCTACGTGGGACCAAGGAGTTCAACCAGCTTAGACACCACTTCCTCAACAATGTACAATCAGAGCCGCAGTTGAAACAGAGCAGTTCCGGTCGAGGTCAAGCCCCTCACCCGCTTTCTGGCCATTTCTACTCAAGCTAAGGAGACACGGCCCTTCCCTCATGCGTTTGGCGTTGACACTTGGACGAAAAAGGCTGGTGGTTTCTGGCAAAGGCGTCAGGCGACGCAGAATTTTTCACCTGAAGGATAAGGTGCTGTACTTCTGAATTAGTCAGTCGGTCCGTCAGTCAGTCAGTTGGGTGTTTACTTAGCTGCCAAAATCTGTCTCCCACGAAAACAACCTGACTCTCACAAGGAGACCTTGCAGCCCACCCTCCGTTCCGCTCCAAGTACTCCTCACCCAAAGTAAAAACACGCCACCGCGCAGAGCTACCATATGAGCTATAGTCTAAACTCCTTAAAGGGGGTTATATAGGGGATGATATCGGGGACTACTATAGGGGTTATTAAGGGGGATACTAGGAGTTTAGACAATGGCACATATGCGGGTTAGGGGGTGGACTGGGCACCCGCACTAAAGTTTGGTAAGCAGCTTGTACCAGCGCAATTAGTTGCGCCACATCATTTAAGCACAACACACCGGAACCCTCGGAATCAGTACGTGATGTCACCCGGCCCGGCCGTAGGACATGCCCCGGCGCAACCACACCCGAGACGTTCCCGGTGGTGGGTTCGTTCAAAACCACCTACACTCGCGTTGACACTAGCATATCGTGGTCGCGCCGCCACACTGACGAGGCATCCAATGACTCTTCTCCGCTCACCGCCGAAAACTCGAAACCGCCATCCCAATCCCCTTCCTGCCTTCCCACACTGTCACCGCCATCACCGGAGTGCACAAAGAACCAAACGAGGAAGGAGTCTCAGGGGTGTGTGTGCACGTAGCAACCCAGCGCCTCCAACAGGACCGTTTCTGATAGTTGTTTTCCTGACTGCCCACTCTTCCAGCAGTCCGGAGCGATAAACCTCGGCAGTAGGCAGGCGGGCTCCTGGCCCCAACACCTGCCCCGCGCCTAAGATCAAACATGCAGGTCTCAAACAGCGAACAGCCAGAGGCCAGAGGTTAGCTGACACCTTTGCCCAGACGCCATGGAACCCAAATTCAGACGTTGCGTCGGGGACAGGACATTCTGTCCAACTTTTGGTGCTCTTACCAACTTCAGAGTAGATGCACTCGGGCGTGATGCATGCCGATGCTAATGTGCACCGCAAGGTCATACACAATGCTTCTCAGCTGCATTCACCTGTACAATCACTGGGTAGCTCGTGCGCCTGGTGCACATGTCTCGAGGCAGAAAACGTCCCGGAGCTGAGTAGGCGTCGCCAGCTCAGCTGATAGAATCGCACATGCACCAGAAGAAGACTAATCCGATCTCAAAATATCGACTGAGGGAGACGTGCAGCTGGCCCGCGTGCATCAGCGACCATCCTGGCGCCTGCCGTCGCAGGGGCCTTTTGTGGAGGCGGAGGTCCCGGTGCCGTGGTTGGCTTGGCCGTTGGTGCGACGGCCTACGGCCTCTCGGTGGAAGACAGCTCTGGCAGCTATAGGCTATGGGTGTCAGGTTCCAGATATTTCCAGATGCACAGTCTAAGGCATGCAGCGGAGAGCAATGCAAGCCAAGTATCCAAACGGCACCTTGGCAGCTGCAGGAGGTGCTGCGCTGCTTCTGCACTGAAATGTTGACAACTACGCAGATCTGGAAGCTTGCTAAGCAGATGCTTCTGAAGAACCAAGCAGTATAAGCAGTTTGCCATTTCGGGCCTCCTGAACCACAAAGGATTCTGCGATCCAGTCGTTTTGGTCGAAGCCTTACTGGAAATTGGACGCCAATGAAGTTTACTAGGCGGCGAGCTGCGGAATGGATACGCCCATGAAATCCAGGCGTAATTGATTAGTGCGATGTTGCTGATGTTCAGCGAATAAATTTGGTAGTTTCCCAAAGTAGGGGGACCCCCTTCTAGATCCCGCAAAACTCTAATCCTTATGAATGGCACCCCCAAAAAGGTACGCTAATTTTGCAAAACCTCCAAATTTGATTTTGGCACAAGCGAAGGTTGAAGTCTTGAATGCAGATGAAGAGACATTGGCGGCAGCCAGGCCTACAGTGAACTCTCAGGTTTCCCATTTGACTGGTCTGTTTGAGATCTAGTGGGCCCAGTCAAGCTAGCAGCATTTCGCACCCTCAGCTCACCAACAGGGCAGAATTACTTGTGTTGTGTTGCTCCATTTTATGGTCAGCGCCACCCTTTGCCATGCTCGCGGCGCATGTCTATTATCACAGATCCTACGTGCACCTAATCATCCGAAAGACCCTGTTCAAAATCTCCATGTTTTGTCGGAGAGCATTGAGCATCACATGATTTCTGCGGTCCTCAGCCTGCACATCATATGCACTATCATTTGCTACTGCCGTTAAAGCGGCAATCTGTCCCCAGTGAGGAATCTCGAAACAGATCACATGAGTTCACATTGCATTCGGTCATCGGTTGCAGCCTATCAAGTTTCTATGCCTATCTTGCTTGGCCTTGTACTTGGTCCTTTGATTTGACTGAAGCGTCAATAGTGCAATCAAGAAACTTTCAAAGAGAACAGAGGTGCAACAACTGCCTGGCAGGTCTCATGTCGCAACCAAGACCAGGAACCCTGAAGCTCGCATGCAGATAGTGGGTATCATAGGGAACCATACCGAATCCTCCTGGTCATCAGCTGTCAGAATCCTGACATCATGCAGCACTTATCGTTCGGCACGGTGCCAACAAGGAGCAAAGACGTGCATGGCCTCTTGGGTCCGAGGTTTGGAACCAGACGCTGAGCTTGCCATGCGCGGGCGACGACACGCGCTTGATGCAGCAGCAAGGGTCACTTGGCTTTTCAACTTCTGGATGCGGCAGTTTGGTGAAGCTGGATTCTTGTGAATCACAAGCTTGCAGTATTGCTGCAGGTGCTCTTGGCGAAGTCGCCGCAAGCCAAAAACTAATGAGCTGTTTCAGTCGGTTTGCCACATCTTGCATGACGGGCTCTTGAAGGGTCTCCAATCTCACATGCTTGCCGAACTGAGATCGCAAGAGCGCCAAGCTGGCCGCAGCTCAAAATGTTCCACCTGAACAGCACCTCGCCGGCATTTCCAGGGCACCCACGCCAGAAGATATCATCTCAGGGCTTGAAGGGAAGCCATTCCTCTCCAAGGTGGGACGTTTCAACCACAACGTTGCGCGTGACTCTCTACGACAAGAGCGTAGGCGTCATGGACCAAACAATCGGAGATTCTGGGCTTTTGAACAGGAACAGACACATGTCATGAGTGGCAGTTGAGGGGGCTGCAGTCTGAGTGGAGCGATGTGGTTGTCAGTGTAGCGCTCGCTACAATGTTGAGGAAGTGAGCATCCCATTGCAGCAGCTGCTCCAAGACCCCGAGGACCACCGCGAAAGACTTGCTGGACATGCACGCAAATGCTCAAACATGAACCCACACCGTCAGAGTTCTTACTCCGGGCCCCAGATGCTCAATCCCATGGAGACAATCAAAAGGAGGAGAGCAATGACCGATGCATTTGCAACGAAAGGCTTTCATGAATTGACGTCGCAACATCTCGGTAAGAGCTGCTGAACATGCTGCTATGACGCAACCTCTCCTGCGGACCCCTGTAGGCCACCTATTTGGTCACGGATGCCGCTGGCGAAGCGGTGTTAGGCACCGAGCCGCCGCTTCTTGGCTTGCAGAAGACGCCTGAACACCCAGTCAAAGTGGCAATTCGCAGCAAAGCCAGTGAGAACATGCTTCTGCGGGAATGTGCTCGGCTAAGAGATGCTAAGAGCTCCAAGGCGGTACTGCGCCTAAGTCACGACTATTGGGTTCAAGCAAGTTATCGGCGGAGAACACGCATCCATGCGAGGCATTTGCCGTGCAAGATCTCCTTGTCCGTCCAAAGCTGAGCACATCAGGATACATTGTGTGCCTCAAAATTGCACATTGTACTGCTATGTACTGCTGTCGAGCGAACACCTTGGAAAGTGCTACAGTGACGATTGAGCGGGCTCGCAACCGTCACAATCAAAGGAAGCAGCCAAGGTCGTCCAAGAGTCCCTGCCGAAAAACTGGCCGGTGCTGTGCAAGTCGAAGACCGACTCCTCAGCGCAGTGTCGTGGTGGCAAACGATGCATGTCGATTAGAGACCGCATGGATGACAGTCATGTGTGAGAGTGTGTTCCGAAGTCCCATTGGCATGTGGGCGCCAAGGTATCCTATGCACGTCGCATGGCGGCAAAATGGAAATGAGATAAGACCTTCTTAGTATTGTGAATTTGCCCCAGGCCCCAGGAGCGGGATGTGCACCTTTCCTGGCCAATCCTGGCCACACATCCCAACTCCCCTCAGGTGTTCATGATGACGCGCGGCACTCGTGGCGATGTTCAGCCTTTCGTCGCGCTGGCACGAGGACTGGCAGAACGACTGGGATGGCTTGCAACCCTGCAGCATGAGGCTTTGTGAGCTTTTGCGAGCTGTCGGCCGCCAAAAATCAACCGTTCATTGAGCATCCCAAAACACACAGACATAGTACTAGGAACTACGTATGTGTGCCTTGGCACTGTGCTGAAGCACTTGCTCGTGAGGTCACCATCTGCACAGAGCAAACCCATGCAGCTTTCGTCAGAAAGCATTCCGTCTCTTGTCGGGAATTGCCCTGCTGCTTCTTCGTACACTGTGGGAGCCACACGCAACGTGGCGATGAGCTGAGGCCGTCAAGAACGGAAAGATCAGGTTCCGCCCAAGTGGTGGGAACACTGAGGCAGCCGCATGCCCCCCCCCCCATCCATAGGCAAGAATGCATGAAGCACCAGCAATGAGAAGTAAGTTTTTACTGCGCCTGCGAGAACTGCGTTGACTGCAAATCACCAGGCAATGGAGATAGATGTAAGGTTCGGACTGGTGTTGGTGCTACCTCTGCGCTGCTAGACTGCGCGGTTGCTGCTATGATGACCGACGTGCATCCATCACCTACAGAAATCCAGCATAGGGAAGTGAAGCTGGCCAGGAGCACGATGGAGCACGGGTATTTTGCATGCACGGGTTACCTGCAAAAGGCAAGAATGGACTCTGTGGGCGCACACTTTCTGCTGACCCACCGCGCGGAGTTCCTGCAGATGCCACTTGACCAGCACACTGCCGGGCTCTGGAGATTTCACCAATGCATGGGAACTAGAAACCGCGCCGTGCATCCTCTGACGCGCATTCGGCCAGTTGGATTTGAAGATGAGGATCGCACTCTCAAGATCAGAAGCGGACGCTTTGCCTCAAGCTCCACGTCACGATGGCAGCATACCTTGTGAATCGTGTCTGTGAGGAGTTCTTCTCCAGTGCCACAGTCTTTGTCGACTGTGTCAAGTCCATGGAGAAGGAGCCCAAGCCTGTGGACCTTATCATGTTCGGTTTCTCGGCGCAAGCCTTGTGCCAGATGTCTCCTATGCCAGTTGCTTCTGACCCAGGCTTCACCTTGGCGGGACTCGCCGCATTAGTCGGCGAGCATTGCCAGAAGCCCGTGATGGGCCTTGGCCTGAGCCTGTTGAGTAGGAGGCAGACTAGGCACGAGCCAGACTGGTTACGAGTGTAGCGAGTCCAGCAGACTTCCAGGATTCATCTTGCAGCCGAGCTGTATCCCGAGCAAGGAGGAGGCAACGATGATGCTCATTGGCATGTGCTTGGGCCCTCTTCCGCCATAGGATCCATGCTACTCGCTCAGAGGTGCAACGAACAGCTAGGTTGCATGTACCAAAAGATATTCGTGAAGCAACTTTTTGCAGGACTGGAAGGCCGTACATGCAATCCACAGCCCTGAGGGCAAAAGTCTGCTTGCCAGTGCCTTACTTTCCGTGCCTTTCTCTTTCACCCTCCAAATTAATGGGAAGGAGGGAGCTGTAGCCATGCGACCGTATCCAGGGAGCCGTTAGGCCTTAGGCAGCCTGAATGTGTCTTGACCCCAAGGTTTCCGTTGCAAGAGCGTTGTAAGAACGTGCTTGGGTTGGATTCTTTTTGCAAGCAAGTTGAGGACACGGTCGACGAGATGGCGTTCACATCGCACGGTTCTCTCAAGTTGCTGAAGGACTTCCACTGCTTTCTTCTTTTGTTGTACAAGCCTGATCCGGTTGTCTGCAAGCTTCTGGCTGGATGCTCCAAGGACCTTGCTGAAAAAAACCCTTTTGCTTATATGAACCTTGGCAGCAAATGCAGCCCGAGCAGGGCCGCACAGGCAGTACACTTCCCATGAGCTTCGTCTCATGCAGCCTTAGTGCTAAGGAATTTAAATCATCTCCGAAGATTGTTTGGTCTGGGTCCAGCAGATACATGGCAGGCCTTCTCCTGGCAACCAACAGCCAAGACGGTCTGGAAGCGCTATCCTGAATTCAATGTACTCTTTGCAGGCCTACAACCAGGCAAAGGTGCCCATCATCATCCCAATGCCGCCGGGGACGTTTCAGCGTCCGCAGGAGTTTTGCTAGACATAGCTGTTGCATTTTGTCCTGCATCACGGCCTTCGTCCTGTGCAGCAAGATCAGCAGCAACGTAAGTAGTACGTGACCTCTAAACAAGTGCATACACGTGTATGTTAGGAAGAACGTGGCTGCAATGAGGGAGTGGGCATTGAACCGGGATTTTGAAATCCAGTGCCATGATCGCAGCCATCCGAATTGTGGGACACTTTGGCTCTCCAGTTTGCAGCCGATTTTGTGCATTCCCTGAAGTTTCTTACAAGCACGTTCATCACGGAAGGCATGTAGGCTCCATGCTTTGCTTTTTGCATTCAGTCCTCTGGCTCCAAGGGTGCCGCAGAGAGTGATGCAGCTATTGGATATTATCAGCATACGGGAGATTACTGGATTTCCATCTTGTTTTTCATTCCTTCATTCCACAGCCCCAGTTGCCAGAGGCCTCCTGGTGCGCTGTGTCCAGGACTGGCCTGCGAACATCATGCAGACGGATTTCATCTTCCTGCGAAGCCAGGCATGGAAAGAGCAGGGAAAACGGCTACGTTGCAGACGACTATAGACGCAACATGGTCAATAATGGCAACAAGTGTTGCTACTTACTGTCTTCATTGTAGCTCAAGCCCTACCCTAGTTCTCAACGATGTAGGTGCCCACTTTCTTGCAATCTAAAGAAGAAGGATTCTTAATATTCTGCCTGATTCGTTGAAACGGCTGAACGTTTGCTTGTAAAGTCTGAACTTGGCATGAAGCCTATGACACTCCTCGTGTCTGCCAGGCTGGTGCAGAGAAGCAGCTTGCCTGTACAAGTGTAAGACAAAGCATGTTCCAAAATTGTGGCTGGTTTGGCATACACGCAAAGTCGGGCCCGTAGTACATAGGGGGCACACGCGTACTTGTTCTGAGCAATCCCGCATGCCTCGAGTGCAGTGTCGACATGTGGCTGCATGCTGCTAGTAGGAAATCGCTGGGCGAAGTTGGCGACTTTATCGATGTAGCGCGGCCAGGGGCTCAAAAAGTGTCAAGGCAAGTGTGCCGGGAGAAACATTGGCTGCATCAGGGCCGAAAACAAGAAGCTTTGCCTCATTACCTTTAGCAGCATGCCTGTGCCTCGCCGAACGCTGCTCCGTTCCGACCTCAGCTAGCACTGCAGCCTCAAGGCACTTGGCTCATGGCTTGTGATGTTGTGAAATCTCGGGGGATGCCCAGGAATCATTGCAAAGATGATCAACGCGCCTAGCCAGAGCAAGTCTTTCAGATCTGGGATCCGTTCCCCAGATTCATCCCAGAATCTTCACGCATGCAGAATGAATGCTGTCGCTTTCTCTCTCTCTCTCTCCCTCTCCCTCCTCTCTACCTCTAAAACGCTAAACATATCCCCTTTCCCACCGTCACTGAGGGGGCCAAGTTCAATGTAGCCGTGCTCTATGTTGGTCGCATTGAGGAAGGGCGCCTTGGAAGCATGAAGAAGCGGGCGCACAAGGGGGCAGCAAGACAGATTTGGCAGTTCAATGCCTTCGTTCGAGGCCGGAGGACCTGGAACGAGCAGCGCAACAGCTAAAGGAGCAGAACCTCTTTTTCGAAACACGTGCTGTGCCCTAGTTGCAACCTCTGTTTTGGCCCTTAAACGACATGTTGTACCTGCGCTGCGACTGGTTTTTATCAAGTGCTCAAAGTACTTTTTGAAGGGCCCAGTAGCTGTTCATGGTCTCAAATACTTGTGCTGTATGACATGCGACAACAGGTGGACTTTGGCCTGCTGTTTCCTGAGATGGCTTGCTTTGTGGTCCATGGTGGTCTGGGGACTACCGTGGAGGCTTTGCGAACTGGATCCATTGCTGCAGGATTGAGTGCGGAGGGAAAGCTTTCTACAATTTGAGATCTTTTTTTGCAATCGGCTCAGCTAAGGAAGACCTTGCTGTGTCACTGGACCCCTCCTGATGGATCAGCGCTTTTGGGGCCTCCTGGCACGTATGCAGCAAAAAGGTCTTGCCATTACCGATCAAAGTCGCATAGGGCTTTGTATTTCAGGCAGATCATGAAGGCAAATTAGGTCTTCCAGATGCTAAGCAGACACATCTCCTGCGAATGACAGGCTACGTTTGCCACGAAAAAGGCGTTGGCCCTCAGCCAGTGCGTCAGCCTCAGAAAACTTCTCGTGCGCGCAACTTCACCGGTTGTCCTGAGCAAGCAGTGTATTGCTTTTGGTTCCGACCCGACCTTGTGTTGGGGGCGACTGTAATTCCTGGCTATAGGGAAGCAGCAAGGTTTATCGCAGACTTCGAGAAGCACTGTGTTGACTTCCTGAACAACGCAGTCGACCCGGAAGGAAGCATGGGCATAGCTTAAGATTGTCAGCCTGGCTGTAAGATGATTTCCTCTTCACACCCTGCAGACCCAGAGAAGTGGCAAGAAAATGCTTTGGCTACTACCTGGGGGTAACATGGCTGCAGTGAGAGCATTTGGGCTCTGCTAGCATTTGCAAAGCCCTCGGATTAGATGTCCGCGTTGATTGCATGCCCTATCCGATCCTCCTTGTTTCCCTTGGGCCCCCTTCAGGGGGATGAATTGGCTGAGGAAGGTGGAGGATGATGGTGTTGAAGCCAACGTGTTCTGCATCCAGAAGCTGCTGAAAAACTTGCAGCCTTTGGTAACCAGAAGCGAGGTTGGATTGGATCAACATGATCAGCTTTTCAACACCCAGACAGGTCTTCAGAATGTGAGGCTTGCTTTGGCAGGCATCGGATGATTCCTGGAAAGCACCGAAATCATGGCTGTGCTGCGGCGCGGGTCGTGTTGGTGAGCCTGAAGTACTAGAAGCAGTGCCAGCGAAACCTGTAAGCAGGCGCGGGAAGTTTTTGCAGATACTTTACATCCACGTTTGATGGCTTGAATGATTAGGTAACGGCATGCATGCATTTTGCTAACTGAGGTTTGCATCTTGCTTGCGTCTGTGGTGCATCCTGCATATGTACCCTGTTAGGGCATCACACTTCTGTGAGTGACCAGAAATTCTGAGCTGAGCAGGCGCAGTGCTTCTCAGCTTACAAGCTCTGAAGGCGCGGGCCCGATTCTGACAGCTGGGTAATTTTGGCCTTGTCGACTCAACTGGGACAATCTCCCTGGCCCCTGGCCACAAGAGCAAACCACAAGAGGACAGAGCATAGACTGGAACAAGCTGGGTGGAAGTTATCTTAAGTGAGGCTTAGGCGGCTGTCAGGGTCTATAGGGTCTGTGTGAGGGTGTCGCAAAAGAGCAGAAACATTGTGAGCTCCTTTTTTTCTTCTCGCAGTCATGGGCTTCACTATGCAAAAGCGGTCTGGACAGGATTCGTCGTGCAACTCCAGACGCACATTTTTCACGGTGTGAAGTGCGTCAGCGCCACAAATTGTCAGTTCCCATGGTCTTGTGCATTGACCAAGTGCTTTTCGATTCGTTTTAAACTGTGTGAATGCAGTCTGCGCCGCGCAATTGTGTGTTTACATCTCATGTTGCAGACGCACTTTTGACACTTGACTTCAGGCCCCATGACGTTTCCGATCGCAGCCCGCCTATGAGGCGGTGTGCTCTGGCCGCGAGGCGACGGGCAATCCTACTTTCAGAAAGGGTATTGAACAGAAGGCAGAACGACCATAGGCCGGGTTGAGAGAACGTCAGCTGTTTTTATGCTCCGTACATGTACGGGTGACTACGTAGTGCGTCTTGAAGCCGCATGTCAGAAGTTTCAATGCTAACCTGCCATGCAGTGGCATTGAGCCATGTGCTGTGCCATGTAGTCAAGTGGTTCTGTAGGGCTTTGGTGTTGCAAGGATGCTTCTACTCTTGAACTTTGAAGGCTGGCATGACTTGATACAGCTAGGCAGTCGAAGTATGAGATCCCGACTCACGGCATTCCAGAAAGGCCTCTCCTGAATAGTTCAATATGCAAGGCCAAGTCCTACTGGCGCCGGTGCAGCGATCATCCGATGCTGCTTCACTGTGAACATAGAAGTGTAAAGAGATTTTTAGATTATTTTCAAGTCATGGGCCCTGAGCATCATGGGACAAAAGCTCCCGAACAAGACTCATGCCTGCTTCCTTTGTGCAAATTGCCGGGCTTGTTCTGGAGGGAACACTGGCTGGTGACCTTGTGCATGCATGACTAAGCCGGAGCGAAGGCTCTACAGCTCGGAATGCCCTGACCATGCAGAACTTGTTTGTTAACCACGGAGCTCAGGCTCTGCAAACGAAACAGGCCGAAGTCATGCATGTGTCGTTTCATTTTGCTGGATGCAGCTCGGTACAGAGTACAGATCTACGCACCGCTGCATGCGCGGTGTACTTGACACTGCTGGCCCTGGAACTCCTGCAGCGAGCGCAGACGGAGGCAAAATTGCCACAACTGTTAATCTCCATTCAAGGAACTAGTCTTCGAGCGGCCATCGCAGGAGAAACCCAACACCGACACTCCTTAACAAACTTGCAGCGCAGGCAAGTCTAGTTGGTCATGCTGATTTGCTGAAATGCTGCTGACCGATAGATAGGAGAAACCCAACACCGATACCCCTAAGATGGGGCCGCTAGTGGAAATTAGAACTTTGGTGCGAGCTGAATTGTCTCTTTGTGGCCATGAAGATGAGGAAGATGATGCTTTGACAGTTCGCCGCGTGTGGTCTTGCGGCTCCAGTGCACAGCGGAGGCACATGGAAGCTGATGACCGCACATGAAACTAGTGCCCCAGCAGTCTTAGGCGCGCGACCCTGCGCTGTCATCAGACGCGTGTTGGAAATTTACGCCCAGTGGGGATTTGGCACAGCAGACCGGTAAAGTCTACAATCAGCCAGAAGCTTGATTCTCTTAGCTCAAGTTAGCTTGCAAGCCTCGCAGTGGCACTGGCAATGTGCGGCACTTGGGGGCAAGCTTGCCCAGGCCACCAGGGCTATCACTAGCTGGGAAAACCCTTTAAACGTCTAGAGGCTGGTGGGCATTCCGAGGTTGTAAAGCATCTTGTTGTCACCCGAGTACATCAGGTGTACCATGGCCAGCCGTTTAAGTTGCCGACGATCAACTATTGGTCCTGACCTCGTTGTTGCGATTCGGCTCTTTCTCGTGTGCTGACATGCGGTGGACGGTCGTAGACTTTCAACTGAAGCAAAAAAGGTCCGCGGCATTCACTGCTACTTCGAGCACCAGAGGAGGTGCCGGTGGAGGTTCGCGGCTTGCCAGAAGAGCTAGCCAGGCGGGTTGACAATGGCTGCAACATCCGATGGCGTTACAGCGCGGCTGCCAAGTGGACAGGCGGATTGCGGCGGCGGCTTCGGAAACTGAGCTTCGGGATGTTGCGGCCAAGGCTCCGCAGAACATTAGACATTGCAGCAAGTCTGGCCCGAGCGTTCTTCCATAAGGTTGTCGCAGAGGCATTGCTGCTATTGGCACTTTAGCTGCAGCGAGCGTGCTTTGGTTTGGAGACTCTGCGAAGCTTCCCTCTAAGGACCACCGCGGTTTGATTAAAGACTTGGACAAGATATGGCCCACAACTCGGGCGTGCAAGCAACTAGGCACTTCCGAAGTATTGACCTTGACCTCGGCGATCAAAATGTCCTTAGCCTCCACGCTGCGGGACATCGCACAGTTTGGGGGCATGCCGCGTCGAAAAGTCCTGGCATCTAGGCTGCGCCAGGAAGACGCTTTCATATTTCGCTGCTTTACACGAAGGCCACGGCAAAACCTCTCTCTCTCTCTCTCTATCTCTCGCTCTGTCTCTTTCTCTCTGTCCATCTCTTTTGTGTCTTTGAATGCGGATCGGATCAGGCATTGTTCAACTTCCTAGCCGAGCTCTGTTGGGCCAATTACATATGTCCCTCTGAGCATGCAATTCAGAAGGCAGTACACGGCCTCTTAGATGCAGCCTTCGTTCTTTCCGAGCATGCATGCAGCGCCGAACCGGCTGGATGGTCCTTGGATGCATTTGTGCGCTTCACTTGTAGGAGACCATGTGCAGAAACATGGCCTGAGCTCTACAACCTGAGCCTTGGGAAACATAGTATGACAGGTATGTGGAATCCTGCGCGTACTTTTTGGCGCGGGTGGGGGAGATCATGATGCTCAACCCGCTCGAGGTTTTCAACGTCCTCGACCCACTGACAGCCCGTTACTCGAATGCTGCAGTGAACACCACTTCTTTTTATCAGAGCATACCTCGAGATAATGCTTCCACGTACTTTATAGGGGCCAGAGGCAACCGTGGTTTCAGGGAGGCAAAAAAAGTGTCCCTCAAATTGGGAAGTCTTACGTCGTCCCCTATTAGCATAGCAATAAACCTGATTGCTGAATAGAGATCAAATTACACTATTCCATGTAGCATACATTTAGACATATACACCCGTGTGCAAGAGAAGCGGATGAGCAATGTTTAAGCTAATCAGCTGAGCACTACTCGTGGACCCTAACTCACATGGACTTTCGTTCCTTTTCTAATGGCTTAATGGCCGGTGCGCGTGACGCTGCCTTACACTGTGGGACCCTCACGAATCAGTGGCCGGGGGAGAGAGAAAGACAAGACTCACCCAATGCTACGAAACCCCTTTTTTTGCTTCATACCATATGGAGTCCTTGGAGACAAGAAGCAATCGGAATCCGAAGGCCTCGCATCTTTGGCTCGGCGGCTCCCGCGACGAACGAAGTCCTTCGTGTGGCTGCTTCTGCGCCGGCGCGAGCTGATGTGGTGCCTTACAGATCTCTGAAGATGGGCTCTTTCTTGAGTAGCTCCACAAAAATGCCATGAAGGGCAAAACAGCCAAACATGAAGGACCCGAATCAGAGCAAATCAGAAGGGTGATGCTGCGAAAAAGAGAGATGGGAGCATCCACTTGCTTCTGGTGCAACCCTTCGAATCTCACGAATTCAGGTGATCGTGCACGGGCAAAAAGCAATAAGAATAAGATCACATCCGTGCGGTGAGAGGAAGGGCAAAGGGGAGAAAAGGGTCGATGGCCCGGACCGTTGTCCAAAAATGGAAAAGGGACTTGGTGCCTACATGTCCCTACTGCCACCTTATGGCCGCAGGACATGAATTTGGAAGTGTGTGTTCCATGACAGGATGCGGGCTCTTTTTATGAACGTTTCTTTGCATGACGGGACCCTAATCTAGACCCCAAAGTCTTATCATGAGGACCCCCAACAAGGCACCCCTGATTTGGGAGACCCTAAACCCATAAACCCTAAACGGTAGTTTCCATTTTTCCATTATCCCAACATCTTCCAATAAACCCTACGAAGGCTCTTGGCCACATGTTAATATGTACGGGCTTGACAGATCAGGCGTGGGACCGTGCAGCTGGCTGTCAGCTCCGCATACTGGCAGGCATACTCTGGAGCCCGGCTTGTGACTTGACAGATATAGGCTTATAGCCATGGCATGGCATATTTTGTTATGGTATGTTATAGTGTAGTGGGGTAGTGTAGTGACTTGACAGATATCAGTGTCAGTTGCGGGCCTTTGGACAGGCTGTTCTTACCTCGCGTTCTGGCTAAGCGGCTACTTTGCGTGAACCGTACATGGTGAAGCGATCAACCATCATGCGCAGTCGGCAAGCTTATAACTCATAATCGCATGGCAGAGGTTCTGACCGGCCACTTCAAGGGGGACCCAAAGTCTTGCTCCCTCGCTGAGCTGCCCTGGTGCGCCTGCGCTTCCATAATGCGCTTCATATGTGAAGGGAACGCGCTGGATGCCGCAGACGCTCTCTGGAGCATCGAGAACCATGCAGCGACCCGGGCTAAATTGCGGACTGGGGCTGGAGGTACAACTTCCCATCCATGGCACTGGCCTGCTTCAGTTGCTGTTGCTAGCTTTCGTCCTCAGGATCTGCTATTGCCACTGCTGTTGCTCATGACCATCCAAAAAGGAACCTGTCCACTGGTCGCCCAACCTGCTGAGGACATCCCGTCAACAGATGATTGGCTCTCTGAGTTCTTGGAGAAGCGACCAGCTACACCAAAGGCAAGAGAGGGCCCCCTGGCGCAAATGGTCCTAAGATGGCTCTTGAAGAACCTTGACAGAGTGGCCTTACTGTCATGCCAGGTAGCGAGTGCAGCGAAGCCAATTCACCAACTTCACCCTTTCAGATACAAATCGAAAGCGAGTAAAGGCAGCTGCCGCAGACACGCTCAAAGGGGGCTCAGTGGCGGCACTGAGCCATTTGTACAGCAAGCCTTCCCCAGACTGCTGATGCAGCTTATTACAGAGCAGAGGATAAGTCGAGCATGTGGTAGGTGGCCAATAGTCACCGCACATGCAGAGCACTTCTGTGGCATCAGTTCCTGCAACGAATGCACAAAGTGTGCGGTTGCACTTGTCATTCTTAGGAGCATGTGTTCAGCACTGACTTTCAATCGCTTCAACGTCCACAGTCAACCAATGCTGAATGGCTGCACGAATGTCCATTCACCCATGGTCTTGCATCTTGGCTTGATATATCTTGAGGGACAGGCCGGGGTCGCTGAGCTGGGGCGCAGCTCGGTGGGCACCCAGGCAGGATGACCTGCCCACGCTGGGAAATGAATTTCGCTGTACCAAGTTAGCCCGACTTGGGAGGCAGCATGTTCGGTACTACGCAGCCGTTTGGTGCCACCGGTGGGGGCTTGCCAGGCACTAAGTGTGAGCGTGTGCCAGCTTCAAATTTCCCACAAGCCTGTTAGACCCTGTTGGCTTGTGCAGGCTCATATCACGCAGTTGCAGCAGAAGTCCCATCACAGAGAAAGGACCACTAGAAAATGCTGTTTGCATTTTGAGGTTTGGCGGAGGTGGCTGCGGTGGCTGTGGTGGATTCGGCACGCCGCAGATCAAGGATCCGAACACCAATCAGGACGTGCAGTTGGGGAGAAAGGGCTGTACAGCGCTTGGTCGTACGGGCACATCAAGTCACGACCCACCAAGATCCTGGAGGATGCGCCGGTACCCGAGGGCCCGAGCGACTCCATCAGCTGTTTGCGTTGGTCCCCCTCAGCAAACATCTTCGCGTGCGGCTCGTGGGACAAGAGCCCTTGGGCTGCAAGCCACATCAAGCCGCAATCTGTAGCGATGACTAGCAGACCCTGGCCGGTGCCGCGCTCATAGGCAGTTCTATTAAGTCAGAAAGGACCCACACCGTCGTGAGGAGGTGGATTTTTTTATCCTTCGGATTCTTCGTCTTTTCCAATAGTCTCCAACCAAGCCCAGTCAGCCAATGAAGCCAGGCAATCCAAAGCCACCAAAACTCTAAACCGTCTGTAGGCACCAAAATCCACGAAAAGATAGGCCTAGCGACGTAACTGTCCCTGACACGTCAGGCGTCAGAATCTACGAGGTCACTGCGCAGAACATTGCCCCACGCATCTCGCATGCATTGAGCCAGGGTGTGCAGCTCTCCAATTAGTTTTGAGCTGGCTTGCTCTGTGCTACGTGCATCATCAATCCAGGGGGGAACAGGGAGGGGTCAGATAGTTTCCGTAGCTCATTCTAAGAAGCATCATCGTGAAGCACGCATGCCATCATGCAGAGTCTGCGCATGCATGATGGCTGATGGCCGCTAGCAAAAAGCGGCTGGAAGGGCTTTGCCACTGTGAGGAATGGCTTACAACCATGAAGCACCTGTACTGTGCTGCGCCTTCTCCAAAGACGGCCAGCGAATCTTCAGCGGTGGCTGTGACAACAAGGCACCCCTCTTCGGAAGTAGGCTTCGCCTAAGCCAATGGGGTCAGACAGCGGTCATCCACTGAGCATGACGTGCGCATTGCTGGCCCTGGCTGGGTTCGCAAAAGCCCTCATACGGCATAGCTAGCCTTTGCAACATTGCTTTGGCAAGCAGGAGCCGTGAGTTTCAGCATGTCCCTTGTGCACACGAGACCTATCAGAGGTGAAAATGAAAGTCCTGCAGACCCAGCAGGAACAGCAGATAGGTCGAGCACTCAAGCCCCTGTCAAGCTCTTGCATACCTCTTGCGTCTCGACGCATAGGAGCTGGACGGACAGTGCACCTGCCACGTGCTGCTCAGGTCAGCACGACGGACCTGTGAAGGAGGTCTTCGTGTTAGACGAGATGAACATGGTCGTTTCTGGCAGCTGGGACAGGACACTTCGACCCTTTGTTGCAATAGTTCCGGCTGCAGAACGGCAGCTCAAAGGAACAAACACAACCGTCAATTCCAATCCCCAAGGCTTCTGGAACCTTCAGCAGCCAACGCCAGTGGCCACCTTGCAGCTGCCAGAGCGATTCTTGGACACGAACGTCACTGCAGTAAACATCCAGAAGCAGGGCCAGACCATCAGCACTTCAGCGTACCATCACACCATGCGCGTGATCTCAGGAGTCTATACTATGGATGTGAAATATCCATTGCTGGTAGTAGGATGCGCTGAGAGGCATGTGCCCCTTGGCTGCACTTCCAGGATTTCCAGGAACTGGAAGGGTTCTTGGGTCAAGCGACGGCTACTGAGGCTCGTGTACAACCTGCAGGCCATTCAACAGAATCCAGCCCCTTACAAGCAGGGGCAAACAGCCCTGAAGATGCAAACGCGCGCCATCTGCTCCCCAGCTGCACTGTCACCACATGCACATGCTTGACTTTTGAACGAACCTCTTCTCCGGAAATGTGTGTGTTGTTCCAAGCCCAGTGAGAGACGGCACGGGACAAGCTCAAATGTTACATCTCCGCGTGCAAGAGCGAATTTGGTCGCAATCCTCAGGCGCCTTTCCTGACAAGACAGGCTACGCAGTTGGATCGGTAGAGGGCCGGTGTTCAATCGCCTACATAGAGGACTCGAGCAAAAACTTTGCTTTCAAGTGCCTTGGACGGATGGAGATGGCTGAGTTTGTGAAGCATGCAGGCATGCAAAACCGCTGTTCGAGCACGGTAAACGCCAGAAATGCCTAGAGCTTGCTTCGAGAAGGTGCCACCGAACCAATTCGGAAATCTATGCGGTAAACGACATCGACTTCCACCCACAGATGGGGCAAACATGGTTGCACTAATTTTGCAAAAGGTTGTTGACTACTTATTGTGCAGCTTGACATGAAAATTATACCACGTGGGTCCTTCATGTTTGTCACTCCAGAGTTCAAGCCTTGGATTGTTTTTTGGGAGCTCTTCCGCTGCAGCCTTGGAAAGACATAGGACATTTGCCACCTGCGGTGGCGATGGTACATTCGTTTACTGGGACAAGGAGAACAGAGCCACGGCTGAACTGGACGACATGCCCGATACATCTGTGGAAATTGCTTGATGCACCGGCCGAAAAGACTGAGGACAGCGATTGAAAGCGTTTAACTCCTGTCACTATCCCCTCACTGCCGGGAAGTTTAATGCACCTTGGATTAACAAGGCTTGCGCGGTCACGCGCAACAAGGTAGTAACGATCATATTCAAATGGGGCTGCAGAAGTGCGTATTGCCCGCAAATCTCAGGCACCCGGAGACATGTATGTCGCTTGATGTGATTTGAGATTCCGGTGACGTCAACCTTGCTCACATGGTTGAAGTGGATTACTGCCCTCTTACAAGAACCTGGCGAAAATGAAGTTCGGAAGATCTCTCAGCTCTTCTTGAGCCTCAAAAGTATTGAAGAGTAGCCGCTCTTGATTTTAATCGGAGACGGCTGAAGAATGTGGCCAAGGCGTATGCGGTCTCGTACGACTGGAGCAAAGGGCACGAGCAGAATCACCCGAGCTTGCCAAAGGGAGCTCCAGCCTCAGTGGAGGGTTGCAGCACCGCAGTCGCGGATGAAACGGGGCTACCCCCACAGACCCAACTTCGTTTCAGTACAAGACGTGAATGAAATCCTTTGTGCGCAGAATTCACCACGAACTTTGTCTAACATAAGACTCCCGCACACAGATTGCCTGATGATCATAGGATGGTTTGATTTGTTCTGGCAGGTGGTGCAAGAGACTTTGTGGAGCCCTTCCATGGCTTGCTGTAGAAATGAGATTGCTAAGCTATCAGAAGCTCAGGTCTTGGTCCACAAAGTCCAAGCCGCGGAGGTGCAGCCAAAAGCAGGCTCTGCAAACCAGCGTGCCAAGCGCTGAGGCCTCTTGGCCAGGGCAACGCCTTAAGATGTCTGTTGTAGCACGACGCAAGTAACAATATGGGGATTTCCCAATATTAGGGGAACCATTTTGGGGGTCCCAATACATCCCCGGGACGAAAGTTTTGACATACGGAGGACGTCCTCGTAGCCTACAGTACCGCGGAGAAGCGGAGAAGGCACAAGTGTCATTTTACTTGGCCAGCGTGGCGGAGTAGTTAATTTCCGGGAATGAATGTATATTATTATAAAGTTCCCGGCGGAGAGCCTGTGCTAGGAGTCTACGGGGAGAGGGCTTGACATAGCCCTAGATGTGTCAACTTGAGTC